CTTCAGGACATTGTCCCTGGAGATGTCCCTGTGTCCTCTGGCCCTGGGGCCGGTCCACAAGGTGGGCATCGGCAGGGCTGAGGGTCTTAGAGTGGCTGCTGACATGACCCATCCCTCCAGGACGCAGCTCCATTCCGGGCCGAGCCAAGCCCCAGAGGTGCTGAGCCTGAGCCCGTCTACAGCACGGACAACCACGGTGGGGCGGGCAGCCCGCCGGCCCTGGCCTACGCCCCCGAGGCTGTCTACGAGACCACCGACGATGCCCAGGACCACTACCAAGCAGGTGCACGTGCGTGAGGGGTGGGGGGCCCTGAGGGCCTATGCATGCTGTCCCTGGCACGGATTTGCTAGTCAGGACCCTCCGGTGCCGTTGGCACCACTGACACACACACACACACACACCAGGAGGCCTAGCTCTCCTAGCTGGACAGAGTGGACAGAGCTGGCCATCAGGAGCGAGTCCCCTCTGCTCGGAGGGGCCTACCAACCCCCGGGTCCCAGCTCGCGGGACATTCCTCTAGTGCCCCCTCCCCGGTGGGTGCGGGAAGTGCTGTGTGACTCAGGGCGTGGGGCGGGGCCTCACCAGGACGCGCGTGTCTTTCAGAGGAAAACACCTACGATGAGTATGAGAGCGACTTGGGGGTCACGGCTGTCGCTCTGTACGACTACCAGGCTGGTGAGTGAGTGTGTGTGACTGTGTGTGAGAGTGTGTGTGTGTGGGGGGGCTGTATGACCACTGGGCTGGTGGGTGGGGTGGGGTGGGGGTCTTCAGAAGTACCAAGAGCTGGTATATCTGGCTCCCCCCTCACTGCATGCGCACATACATGCATGGATATACACAGGTGTGCACAGACAACACTGGTGCGTGCACACCCACACCAAGTGTGAGGGTCCTGCAGAAAGTCTGTGGAAGAACGGAAGTAAGAGCCAATGGAATTTTACTGCAAACTTCTGATGGGCCTTCATGCACACGCACACGCAGACGCACGCACATGCCGCCCTGGCACCAGCCCTCTCCTGGCGGCTGAGGCAGCTACAGACACACCCACCAGCCCCTCCCCGTCTCAAAACCCCGTGCCACACCACCCAGCGTCCCCTGGGCCACCTCCTCCCCGTGTCCGGGGTCTGCCGGGCCCAGAAGGGTCACCCTGGGGCCCGACCAGTCATGCGCGGGGAGCTCTCTGACCACAGCCTCCCGAGCCCTGGTGTGGGGGCGCAGGCTGTGCTGGGGGCCCTGCCCAGGCTCTGTGTCCACCAGCTTGCCCTTGTGGGCCCGGGTAGTGGGCGGAAGAACCCAGGGGGGCGATCTGGGCTTGGCTCTTGGGCGCATGGGCACAGCACTGCCGCCCACCGGCCTGTCCCGTGCCCCCCCCCCCAGCGGGCGACGACGAGGTCTCCTTCGACCCGGACGACACCATCACCAACATCGAGATGATCGACGATGGCTGGTGGCGCGGTGTGTGCAAGGGCCGCTACGGGCTCTTCCCGGCCAACTACGTGGAGCTGCGGCAGTAGGCGCCGCCGCCCTGTGCCCGCCGGCATGGGGGCACATGCGGCCTTCCTGTTTAATACTGACGCGGATGCTTCCGGAAATGTTTATGCCGCAGAATCTGCTAATATATTGTAATCATGTTCCTTAGGAAGCGGGGTGATTGCCCGCATTCGAGGTACGCCCTGCTCTCTCCCTGCCAAAATGACTACCCATCACGTGGTGCCACTGCGGGGCAGGTGGGACTCGTCGACCCCGGGCCCGCCCCTGTGGCCGGCCCCCTCCCGGTCACTGCCGTGGCCAGGCCGGTGCCACTTGCAGCTGGTTGAGAGTCACCCTTCAGGGCCGGCAGGCCCCTCAGATTTGATGGTGTGGGGCCTGGCCCCTTCTGCTCCTAGCAAAGATGCTCCCACCCCCAGTCTTTCTTCTAGGCCTCCCTCCCCAGCCCCTGGCTTCCAGATGCCCCTCTCCAGCCTGCTCTGTGGCCTCCAGGCTCGGGTGTTCTGTGGGGGCCATGGGGGCCACTTGTGCCAGCAGCGTCCTAGTGATGGCCCCGTGAGCCGGCCCCTCTGGGGACGCCCACCAAGCCCCTGGAGGCAGTGCCTTCGCCACCCGATTCGGACGGGCAGATAGACGGGGGGTGCACCCTGGGAAGGGCATGCTGCCCGCACTGGCCACACTGAGTGACAAGCAGTGGATGGGTCGCCCGGCTCAGAAGGAACAGCTAAACGAGCCAGCGTTGGACCAAAGCCCCTCCTGGGCGCCCCTTGTGTCCCGCCGACCCCCCCTGACCCCTGCTGAGGGGAGCCACGCCTCCTGAGAACCCTGGTGGCTGGCCAGTCACTGTGCTGCCCTTCTGGGGTGCATTCCCCAGGACCTGGGGCGTCCCGGGCACCCACATGTCCACAGAGGCGCACTTGGCTCCCGGCGTCTCCGGACTGGGAGGTTTTATATGCAATCTTACCGTGTCAACATTTCTTTAGCGCACCTCATGAGTATGATTTTTAAAAATTAAATATTCCAAATAAACTCTTGATCCACTTGGCTCAGCCTGTTCCCGTGTGGAGGTGACGCGTGTGTGCACGTGGGTGGACGGGCATAGGGGTGTGCGCATAAGCTCCCAGGTGTGTCTGCCCTCAGCCGAGTGCTCTGTGACCATCGTAGCTGGTTGGACCCACCCTGGCCACGTGCCCCCTGGCCACATGCCTCCCGCGGGCTCCCCAGCTTCAGGCGGACAGGTCCTCAGAAGGCTCTTTCTCTAAGGTACAGCCTGGTCATTTTTTCACAAGGGTCCCAAGCAAATTTAGAGCATTCAGGGTTTAAAAAAAAATTTTTTTTTTACCCTCCCTCATCGAGCTGTTCTCAAAATAAAGCCAGTGATTGGCCATGGAGCGGGACACATTTCTTTCAAACTCGGCAAGTGGAAGTCCGGGGGACATGGGACCAGCAGGGCTGGCCTGCTGCCGGGCCTTCGGTGGGTAGGGCCTCCCTCTGAGGCCCCGCAAGGCAGTGAGTGGACTGTGCCTGTGGGACGCAGTGAAGGGGACCCGCCCCAGAAAGGAACCAGGTGGCTTTCTTAGACAGGTAGCCCCTGGTTATGCCCATGATCAGGCTCCCTGAGATCTGTGGATCAGGATGCTTGAACAAAGGCCTAGTACCTGCGTGTGGAAGCTTCTGGAAAGGCCGCTGTCCCTGTCCCTAAGAGAAATGTCACCGGTGCCCAGAAGCCTGCCTGTGTCCAATGGCCCACTTGCAGCTGCCTTGCCTTTCTTAGGCTGTCACCAGTCTGCTCGCATGTCTGACGGAGTACACCTGCAGGGATCCCTTACTTCCTCCCAGGACCCCAGTGCCTGGGTGGGCCCTTGTCTAGGGTGCCTGTCCCACGGGGGCAGGAATCTTAGGGACCTTTTGTTCTCAACTGGACGCGGGGGCCACCCACAGCGAATCAGCAGGGCAAGGGTTTGAGGGAGCCCTGCTGAAACGGGATATTAGGAAGTCCAAGCCAGGCTGCTGTCTGCAGCTCGTTCCCTGCCTGCGCCCTGGTGGCTCTACTCAAGAACTGCGCACTGGGGTGGTGGGATGGGACGCTAAAGCATTGTTCCCCCAGGGTGCTGGGTGCCCTCTGCACATCCCCCAGCCTTCCAGCCTGGGGTGTGGCAGCCCCTCAGATCTGGGAGCCCTTGGGGTCTGGGTGCTGCCCCTCCCCGGGTCCTCCCTGCCCACTGCCCCAAGTTGGCACGTTCCCCCTTTTCAACACGCCCCTTGGGGCTGGCCCTGAGGTTGCATGGCTGGGAAATGTCAGGACACTGGGGCCACAGGTGAAGTGGGGCGGGGACAAAGGCACAGAGGAGGCCAGGTCTGGGCTGTGTCTTGTGGTGTGACAGCCCCGTAGGGCCAGGCAACGTGGAGTGCCTGCTGTGGGTCTTAAAATGACCCTTCACGTCTGGCCCAAGGTGGAAGCCCTATGCGTAGACCCACGTGGTAAAGGTTTTCCCTCACCTGGGGCAGGGGGCGGGGCACCGTGGCTGGAGGCAACCGACTGGCCTTCGCTCGGAGCGGACCCCGGCACGCGGGGGACAGCTTCGCCCAAAGGTCGCTGGCATCACAGCGGCTCCTCTGAGCAGCGAGGGGGTGCGTACTTACGGCCGGGGCCCCTGCCGCGGTCAGCGCGTCCTCTCCCCGGGAAGGCACCGAAGCAAGTGCCTCGCAGAACCCACCAGGTCGAGCTTCCGGAAGCCGACGGACGTGGGCGTGGCATCCTGGAAACACGTGATTGGTCGGCCTGGGGTGGGCGGGGCCTCCGCGGGAACACCCACTGGGCTGGTTGGAAGCCGAAAGAGGCTTCCATGGGAACCGCGGCGCCCGCCCAGGTGTTCATCTTCCATTGCCCGGTCGAGAACAGGCCGCTCTGAGAACACGAGTGAGGTGGGGACCCAGGGCTGCGCCGGGGACATCCAGGAGGGCTTCTCAGAGGAAGAGACTCCTGCAACTTCTTATTGACAGCTGCCAGTGTCTGCAACTTCTCCGTCTGAAATGAAGGATCAGAGGCACCTTTGGGGGCCCTAACAACAGCGGGGTGTCGAGGACGGACGTGCTCAGGAAACTCCGGCCCTTCGCTCCGTGCTAGGTGGAACGACGGCTTCCCCTGGGACATCTACCCTGGAAGCCCCAGCACCCAGAGAGGGCCCCCCATCCACCGCCAAGGGGAAGATGGCTTAGTCTAGGGTTTAAGCGGGTGATAGCCGCCCTGGGGGGCGAGGGGGGCCGCAGGAAGGGTCTCAGGGGAGCTGCGAAAGCAGACAGCTGCCTGACACTGGAGTCTAGGCTGCCCGCAGATGTTTTCAATGACCAGGGAGGCGCGGAGTTAATTGCCCTCGGACAAGGGGGCAGTCAGCCAGAGAAGTTTGGGAACTTGTGGTCCAGGGGTGGGGAACCTTTTTTTTCTGGCAAGACTCTGTGGATACTTACAACATCATTCGAGGGCCCTGCTGGCCACTGAATGAACTCACCCTCCTGGGATGGCTGGAACTGCTGCTGCATCCCTTTGGTGGTTGGGGGGGGGGGGCTGAATGGCTCAAACATCTAGTCTGGCTGTGGCTGAGAAGGCACGTTGCTCAGGTGCTTGACGGCTTCAATCAGTGGGTCCTAAGAGAGGAGGGGACCCTCCGAGATGTGAAAGGGGCAAACGTGGAGGTTCTGCAGAGAAGAGGGAAGTCCACCTCAAGGCTGACTGGAGGTGGACACCCTGACGCCCTTGGTGGAGTGGTTACGCGTGGGGCTGCGATCCACGTGGTGGGCAGTGGGCAACCACCAGCAGCTTCGCAGGAGAAAGACTGGGCTTTCTACGCCTGTGGACAGTTACAGTCTCGGAAACCCACGGGGGTCACTGCAGTGAGCCAGCCTTGACTGGATGGCAGTGAGTGGTTTTTGGGACCCGCCACCCCTGTAGCTACGGAGTTGCCTTGAGGCTGCTGAAGTCCTCAGCCTGGACTTGCTGCTGCCCGGTTCCAAAGCCCCTTCCTCATTTCCAGATGTAAAACTAGAAATTTCAGGTGCAGCTGGATGGGGCGTTGGGGCAGATGTGATGTGGCACCTGTGAGCACTCCTGTCTAGCATAATGGCCGCATCCCAATCCTGGCCCCGCACCCACCGCAAGGGGGCTGTATCACTTTGCCACCATTCACCATCTTGTGGCTTTTTCCTGCCTTACTTGAGATTCCGGGTCTCAGAAGCGCGTCGCCTCCCAGTTCTGGAGGACAGACATCCATCCACAGCAACGTGCCCTCTCCTGGTCCCACGATCCCTCCTGGTCTGCGGTGCCCCATGGGCTCTCGTGTGCGTCTGCGCGTTTCGTCCTCCTTTCCTGTGGGTGGAATTACGTCTCAACAAACAAACAAACAAACAAACAAACAAACAAATAAATAAAGGCGGGTTGAGGTTCCTAGGCCCCGCTGCCTGCCTGCGAAGGTGGCCTTCCTCATGCCACGACCCCATAATCCAGTTCCTCATGTGGTGGTGACTGCTTCGTCACTGCCAGTTGGCTACTGCTATGAATCGGGCCACCCCTGTGAAAGGATCGTTTGACCCCCAAAGGGGTTGCGACCCACAGGTTGAGAACCGTTGCTCCAGAGAGACCCACAATTTCAATGATAATTTAAGGTGGATGTTAGAAGGGGAATCGAAGGAAAGCGGACCCAGAGCGTGGGTTTCAATGAACAGGTTTTGTTCGCGTTAATGACCCCCCTGGTGTTCAGAGTGGACCGAGGGTCAGGGGGCAGGGTGCGGGGAGATTGGAAGACAGAGTGAAGAGAGAACAGCCGACAGTCAGAAAGGGAGAGCTGCAGAGAGGAAGAGACAGAGGGACGGACTGACGGACGTGCAGCCACAGGAGAGGGTGAGAGAGAGGGGATGCCCGAAGGGATCCCGCGTTAATAAAGTTTTGGGGCAGAAATAAGTTTTCAGATCTAAAAGGAACCCGCGATTCCCTCCGACTGGCGGCAGCACCAGCAGAACTGTGAGGGCGGGTGGGGGGTGAGGGAAGGTTTCTGCGAGGTGTCTTGTTAGACTAGGTGGGGATGGAGAAGGGGTCAGAGACACTGGCTGTGGCTGAGAATGGCGGTGTTACTGCTGGACCCTTCAGGGGACATTTATTAAGGCTCAGAACAGGGAAAGGCAAGACCAAGACAGGTCATCCAAAGGAGGTCGGCCATTAGCACGAGGTCGTCATGGCGCCCAAGAGCTCACTCTGGAGTCTGAGACACACAGAGGCGACTGGGGGAGGCAGGGCGCGGGGGAAGCAGTGGTAAGAGCAGGCTTGGTGGCAGAGCTGTCCGTCACCCGCTGCAGGGAGAACTGATAAGCGAGAATGGGACCTTGGTGGCCTTCAGGTTAGTCAGAATGTTTTACGAGACTGGTTCCCAGCCTGCGGACCAAGGCAGTCAGGAAGTGACTCATGACTTCAGGACCCCAAGTTCTATTACGAGCACACCCTGGGGAAGTCTCATGAGCGACCTCTGCTTCTCCCCAGACTGGTTGGGGTGGGGGGCGGATAGGAATCTACTTGCTAATTCACTCGGCCTGAGGGTAAAGTTAGTCACACTTATAACTTTAGTTATTATTATTCAGCTGATGGTCAGAAGGAATTCAACAAGGAAGAGGCCAAATTTACGTGGAGACTGGTAGTTACATAATTTCATGTCAACTTGATAAATAGAATGTCGGGGTGGGAGTCTAGCCTGTCAATCAGGTCACAAGGTCACACCCAGCAGGAGGATTCTGGGAATTTCCTCTTTTTCTCCTGGGAAGAGGAATCACACACTCTCTCTCTGCTTCACATTCCTGTTGACAAGCCACATGGAGCCACGCATATGGCAGCCAGAGCCCTGCAGATGCGTCCACTGCCATTGGATCCACAGGACTTTCCACCCACTGGCCTGTGGTCTTCCTGCATTCAGCATCTTAGCATGTGCTGCGTGAGTCTGAAGAGGACTCCATGGGCTAATATCAGACTTATGGGATGATAGCAAATTGATGGACTTGATCTT